ATGACAGCATCGCTGGCAACTGTTGCGCAGCTGCTAAGATCATGTCGATGGACCTAGAGTTGCTACGCCAGCACATCAAGGCAGGGCAGCACGGTCCGGGGACTTCATGGTGTCAACTTGAAGGCCAGCGCCCTCAACCAAAAGAAGATGTCAGCTTTTTTGCACGCGAGCACCAGTCACTATTTGGTTGGAAGGAGTATGACAGAGGGCACGGTCACCAAGAGTTGCGATGAGAAAATCGGGCTTTCTTTTCCAACAACCCATAATGGCAGTTTCTCAAAATGGTGGAACCCCTTTTGGTGGGTACAGGGAGGCAGCAAGCATTTGAGGGGATCCCATTTTTGAGAAGCCCATATGGCCGTGGGTCCAAACCAATGGTACCATTTTGGGGTAGGTGCACCACCCATTTTAGTCTATTTTAGTGGTTGGATTGGCATGTTCACCGGGGGTACGATTTGGATTTTGACCCATGGCCATATTGCACCAATGTCCCATTGCGCAGGAGGCTCAGGATCTCGGCCTAGATAAGGAGGCGGGAGTTGCTCCTCTGAATGGACAGCAAGTGGAGGGTGCCATCCTTGGGGCGTGGTTTCAAGAAAAAACAAAGTTGGGTTCCTATTTGTTTTCAACAAACCCAAGTGCACCAGCCACATGCCCATGCGAAAGTGAACTCTGCGGATTGCATCCTCTTGCGATCCGCCAAAAGTCACATGCAGGTCATTGAGAAGGCGGAGGCAATTTATCAGGACTACGCCTAGGATGCATGGTGCACAGAGTTTTTTCAGTTTTGCCCTGCCAAGCAGCGCAGAGCTGGGCTGAGACCTTAGCTGAATGGATCGATCCACCTAGCGCCTCTCTCAAGCCAAAGCTCCTTGGAGAAAAGCCCCGGGAGCCAGAATCCGTTTCGCCGGAAAAAGAAAAAGAGACAAACATCTGCGGATAGCGCGGTGGAGTGCAGCTTTCTGGGCGGATGGATCCCGTTTCTCTTTCCGTTTCCTGGCGCGGGGATCTGTGAGGCTTTGCACAGGCCGAAGGGCGAGAGCTCCAGGCGCGGAAGTGGACGAGGCGTGACTTGTGTATGGGTCAAAATACCAGGAATCGGGCTGCAGGTTGAAACGCCCAAGTTTCCATTTACCAGGGTTCCAGTTTGGGTACCAATTTTTGACCCACAGCCACTTGCTTTCAGTCGCCCAACGTGGCTTCGCGATTGCCAGCTGGTCTTGCTCAAGACTACTCCAGCCAGCGCATAGGGTTTCGCCCACAGCTTGCGCCCACAACCCCGGGGTTCTCCAAACTGCAAAGCCGCCGGTCTTCGGCGGCAAGCTGCAGCCAACCCCTGAGCCAACCCTTGAAGCACTTGGCGTCGAATTAGATGAGTTTTCCGAGCGAAGCAATGGCTTCATGAACGCGAGATTTTAAGCCAGCCTGCGTCATGCAGACGAACAAGGCTCCACAGATCGCCTCGCTCTACGTGGGTGCTTCGGAGAAAACTCTGGGACTGGGAAATGGGGTCGAAGGTCGCGGTGTGGAACAGTGATAGTTGCGCTTTCCGGGCTGGAAGGTCCAACACATGGAGCACCGGAGGGAGGGTCACTCAGCCACTCGGCATGTAAGGTGATCTTCATCCCGAAGTGACCGAAGCCGAGCTGCAGCTCAGAGCAGATGGGAGGCTCCGAGAAGAAAACGGAATGACAAGTGCAGGGTCGATCCTTGATACTGGCAGATGTAGTCGCGGCTTTCCCTTGTGGCTTATGGATCACGGACTATCATAAAGGAACCCAGCGGCATATTTTTTTTGCGCTAAGAAGCTGTCCGTGTGGTTTGCGGATCACGGATTAGGATGAGAATCTGCCTCATTTTGAACCCAGAGGCAGAGGTCCGTGCGGAGCATGCGGTGCGGCTTCGCCGAGGTACGAACTCTTTAACCGAATCGGCCCTGTGGCCTCTATACGGGTTTGCCGTGAGAAGGCCAGTCGAAAATCTTTGGGCTATGGCTATGTGACTTGGCAAATGGAGTGCTTGGAAATCAGACAAAGTTCAACTGTGGCAGGAGACTAAATGCTGAGGGTAAAGTGAACTGAGAAAGCTTGCCCTCTCCTACTGACACCAGGTCAATTTTCACAATGGCAAGGATGCAGAGACGGCCCTGGATAACTTGAACTACACCAATATTCACGGCCGCTGCTGCCGATTGATGTGGAGTTACCTGCTCGCATGCGGCTCTTGGCTGTCCCATTCATAGCCCATAGCTGTTGGAAAGAGGTGTGAGCCAAGTCCATCAGTTAATTGGAATGTTTGCCAAGGGGCTTCGGTAGCAAGGCTCCACAACTTTACTATACTTGGCGGTCGGTGGATGTGCAAAGACTGGAGAGTACAATGATCATCAATCATCATTGCGATAGATCAGCAGATCCCCTCCCCCCCCACTCCCAATGTTGCTGCATGCAAGGTCAGCGCGATGCTGGCCAAAGAAAGGCGAAAGGGCAGGGTTTGGCGGGCTTGCTCGAGGGTCAAGGGAGAGTGATAAGGAAACGTTCAGCCGTTGATGATGGGACCACAGGCGAATAACAGCAATGTCTACGTTGCCAACCTGGACAAGAACATCGACAACAAGGCCAACCAGCGATTTTTGCATTGGTCTGTTCAAACCACATCATGGCACCAGATTTCAGACGGATTGCCGCACCAGTGGGGTGGTGGGTGCTGCACTGGCAGGCCTTGCACGACACCTTCAGCGTTTTTGGAGAGATTCGGTCTTGCAAGGCCGCAGCGCTGAATTCAAAGGCAATGGCAGTTTTGTGTTAGCTCCGCCAGGTGGCTGCAGATGCACTTGGAAGTTCCTATGGCTATGGTTTTGTCCACTTTGACACAGAGGAGGCCAAGGCTATGACAGTGGCAGTCTTCAAGTTCTTTCGTGCAGGCAGCTCGAGACGCGATCGCCAAGCTGAACAACATGGAAGTGGGTGGCAAGAGGATTCAGGCAGTCTGTTGGCACTCATTCGCTTCTGCCTTTGCACTGCAACAGGTGTGCTTGTGCGAGAATCGGAAGGAGGTGTCTTCAAACAGTGGGCTTCTCAGGCCGAGCCAAAGGCTGCGCAACAAGCGCTGAGTTCTGAGGCTCTTCGGATTTCACAAATTTGTACGTCAAGTGCTTCCCGGCGGACTGGTCGGAGGAGTAACAGTCACTTCTCTTGCCACGCACTTTTCTACAATAGCAAAGATGCTCAAACCAACGCATCTTCGATGGAAGGACAGAATAGAAGGCACCAACAAAAATCACTGATGGGACGCCAACCACGAACCATGGTACATTATGGGTGGGTGTTCAACACGTGACTTGGCGGGCATGTTGTCAGGAGACCCTGCGGGCCGAATTCGAGAAGTTTGGGCCGTTGACCGGAGTTGCAGTGCAGACCTCAACCCTCACGCCGAGTCCCAAAGACTTCAGCCAGAGTAACTGAGTAGATGTGGCTGTGGCTCAAAATTAAACCACCAGGAATCGGACGGCAGGTTGAAACGTCCTAGTTTCCATTTACCAGGGAAACCCATTTTGGGGTTACCCTATTTTTGACCCGCCATGTGTAGGTGCGAGCAGATGCGCAAGGGCGCAAATGTGCCTTTGTCAACTTTGCGAAGCACGAAGACGCACGAGAATGTGTGAATGAGCAGCTCGGCAGCCACAGATGTTGATATGATTGGGCCGGATTTTGGCAGCAAAGGATGCACATGAAGGACATGCGCAGTCCTGAAGATCAAGAAAAGGCGTGGAGTTTTCATTAGCACGCCCTTTTCAGATGGGTGCGACCTGCCAGCGAGTCAAGTTGATCGACATGTTCTGAGTTGCGTAAAGCTCATGATTCAGCCGCTTGGACCCTGTTGGCTCGATGTGGGTGAGGAAACAACTCGTGACGAAAGGGGGCCCTGGTGTTCCAACCCCAACCCCTTTTTATCTTCTGGTTTATGCCCCCCCCCCCCCCCCAAAAAAAAAAGGTCAAAAAATAGGGTCCCCATTGATAGCGAATGCCAGGATGAAGTGGAGGTGGGGACCGATGGCCATCCTTTGACCAGGCTCTATGTGCAGCGGGTGACTGGGCATTGGATCACATTTTGGAAGCGGGCCAATGTTTTGGATGAGGTAATTGACCTTGGTGTGTTCTTTTTTGAGGGTACCCCTTTCTTGCATTTTCAAAAGGGACACCAAAGGAAAACCGATGCCAGTTTTGGGGTCCACGAAGAAAAGACACCCTGCGCTGAGATCAATGGGCCCACGCTGCCTTGGATCTATGTGCACTGAGGCGCAACCCAAGGCGGAGCGTGAGCGCTTGCTGAAGCATCAGTATGCGCAAGAGGCGGCGATCAAGAGCAAGTCGTCAGCGCCTGAGTTTCCTACATGGGTGTGTTTCAAACTCTGGGGAGCCCAATTTGTTGCTTTAAAGGTTGTTTGTTGGTTGCCCTTCGAACCAACCTGAGAAGGCTGCCCTTAAACAAAACACCGAGATGAGGGAGGTGTAGGCTGGCAGTTGACTCGCCAGCTTTGCTCAAATCGATGCCCGAGGTCCAAAATCAGCACCTTGGCTGAACCGAGGGAGAGAGCCCAGGGCTGCATTGAGTGAGAGTTGAGGACCAATTTACAGTTGTTATCCGGCTCATAGAATGCCTCATGACAACGCCACAGGTGCACATTGAATTGCAGCGTTTTCTTTTCAAGGAGGAGAACCAGCAGTCAAAACTCGGCGGAACTACTTCATTCTAGGACTCAGCGATCTTAGCATGCGCTAGACAACTTACCATTGTCTGGTGACAAAACGGGTTCTCGTGGCAGCGCACTGTGTCATTTCGGCAAGTTTTCCATGGGCTATTGGCACATGGTGGCAGCGTCAGGCGGCCACTTATTTTTGTTCAATTGTGACATCGACTACTTTTTCGGGAAGCGGGAAAGTGGTTGTTGTCATAATCGGGCAGTTTCCAAGAAACAAATACATTTGGTAAAACACACTGAGTTTCTGCACCTGTGAAGCATTAAGTCAGGGTAGCTGAGCCTGTGGCTCCATGCACCACCTAGCTTTGTTGCAAATCCTGAATGTTGTACAGTTCAGAAGTTCAGAATGGAGCCAGCTCAGGGACAGGAATTGGAAGAATGATTTGACCTTTGGTCTGACCATTTGTCGTTTTGCGGAAAATCGCAACCCAAAACTCCCGCAAATCGAGCGCAAAACCCGCAAAACGGACGCAAACACCCGCAAACGGACGCAAGTCTCAAAAAGTTGCCAAATCTAGCTTTGCAGCATCACGGAGGACGAGCGCAGTTGCTTCATCGGCTGTTTCAATCCAGAAGTATTGTCTAGGTAGGGCAACACCATCAACATCCGAATGGGCAATCCACGACAAACAAAAGCCTGCAAACATAGCCACGACCCTTGTACAAAGAATCGGCCAATTGTTTTCAACTCGGTCCAAATGCCCATATTTGCTCAGTCGGCCAGAAAAAGTGTGACAAACCACATCGGGTAAAAATAAGTGTGAAACATGAAGGTGCAGGCATAGCCAAACTGGGTTCGTCTCATTTTGGGCGATGGGTTTGCCTGCCAAAGTGGACTCCAGACGTCAATGTCGTTTTGGGCCATGGGGCAACCCATTCCGGGATTGACGCGCCGGCGTCCAACTGGTGGGCTGAGTAATCGTTTGTTAGGGGGTTCCCCCTTTTTGTGGTTTTAGAAGGGAATCTTGACCCAGAAGACCATGTTTCACGCGGCTGTTTCCAATGGCCAGAAACGCGGGGCACATGCCATTCTGCACCGGCCTTCAACTCTTTGCTAATTCACCTGGAGCCATAGGTTGCCAGGTTAAATTCTGGAGCATGTTGAACGGGGGCAAGGAATGGCATCCACATAAAACTGGCGGAACGTAGTTCTGCGATTCTTGCAAATTGCGCTACGCTGGAGTTTGCTACTTACTAGTAACACAAACCGCACCGAATGTTAAAAACAAGCCATTTGTCCGCACAATTCCGATTCCCACAGCCAAAAGGTTTGTACGTGAAGGGCTTGCAGGAGGACGTCACAGAGCAAAGGCTCAGGGCCCTCTTCGAGCCCTATGGCGAGGTCCTCTCGGCGAGTGCTCCAAGAGATGCCAGCAGCTTGTCATGGAGCTGACTTGGCTGTGGGTCAAAACCAATGCATTTTGGGGTAGGTGCACCACCAATTTTAGTCTATCTTAGTGGTTGGATTTCGATGTTCACTGGAGGTACGATTTGGATTTTGACCCATGGCCATTGTGTTTTGGCCGAGGCTTGATTTGCAGCTCCGACTTGGACACCCCAAGTGTTTGCGTGAAGAGTCGAGCCATGTCCTGGGACACTCCGAGCCATAGGCGGCAAATGCCGGGGGTTCGGCTTTGTCACCTACGGCACCGTGGAGGAGGCCACGAAGGCGAGTTCGTTTTGTCGGGACATGGGGGGAGGGTTGCGTCTGAAGGGGCCCGAGGAAAGGCGCCGGTGAGTTGTGGGGCGTGTTGTGCGGTACAGTGCGGTACAGTTGCGAGTCTTCAAGCCTTCCGCATGGATTCCGATGTTTGGATTCAACGACCTTGCTTTTTGATTCAACTGACAGACGCTGCACTCAAGCACTGACCACATTGACATGATTGGAATACCTCCCACATGGCATACCTTTGGCCAAACTTTTCGGGGAAGTCACAGCACTGCAGCATCCCATGCCAAATTCAAGCGAGCATGGCTGGGTTGCTGGTTGGAAGGCGTCTGCTTGAGTTAAATATGGTAAAGTCATGAAGTGTTTGATCGAAATCCTCTTCGGCCCTTTGTTCAGCTATCGCTGCTGATTCCTGACATAAAGGCTGTGCTGGATCCCATTGCCCTATGTGTGTTGCCTGGTGTTTTGCTGTGGCCGGACGGTATCTTCCGCCGGCGTTTTGTTCCCTTTTGGCTCAGAGGCTGCACTGAAAATGAAACCCAGGGCCTATTCAGGTTGACCATGTCCATTCTATCTCATGATAAAATCAGCTTGCCCATGTGACTCGATCCTACAGAGGCCTCATGGACTGCTATACTGTGGTTATGTACCCCCGGATAGCTTGCCCAGGGAATTGGGGCATGATTCAGAGAAGGATATTTGGGGTATGCGGCAACCAAGGGTCGCAGTTTCTGCCAGGCAGTGTCCCAAATGCACCTGCAGGCACGCCTGGGGATCAGTGAGTGCTTTGAGTCCGCGTGCCCTCTTAAGCCATCATACCAGGTTGCGCCCTATAACAAGATCCCAAAGAGGCCACGGAAAAAGTGGGATGACCTGCGGGGGGCAAGACAAAAAGCAGTCAGCTAGATAAGCAACAATAACTTGTGTATGCCGAGTCAAACCAGGCATTGTCCAGATGCCAGCCCTGGAGGTCGTTAACGGCAGGGCGATCCATGTGGATTTGGCCGAGAGCAAGCAGGCCAGGCTGAAGATCGATCCCAGTTGTGGGGTTCGATCAGGGACAGATTTTAACAGCCTTCACGAGGGGTCCAGTTTGGGGGGTGCAGTGATAGGATGATAGGTGGGGGTAGGTGGGGGTGCTGGGCTTCAACCCCTCTGAAACCCATGGGTCTCCATTTAACCAGACATCCAAACACTCGAGCCTCCATATCCGGGCATACCCTTTTGAATATGTTAGGCTTCCTGCAAAAGGCAAGTCTGAACGGGCAGCATGTGAGCTTGATTTCACACCCTCGTCAAGCCAAGTGCCTGCATTGCTCACTTGGGCAGCTCGAGATAGGGAGGCATGGGGGAAGAGGGTGGGTTTGGTAAGTTTCGCTTGCTTTTTTTTGCTAGAGGGATAAGCGGCAGGGTGGTGAGTCAGTTGGTCAGCTCTGGCAGTGGTTGACGTGGCGTGCTGCAGATCAGCTGGACAAAGGGTTTGTTAAAGTGCTGTGATTTTTTCGTGCCAAGGTGTCCAAGTAGTAACCCAAGAGAAATGAAGCAGCCACTCAAGCAGAACCGCAGCATGCCCGAGAGGGGAACCAACCCCACCCTGACGAACACACACACACACAGGGACGGGCCCGTGGCTGAGTCGACTTCAGGAGCGGCAGGCGCGGCAAGCGCGGGCCCAGCAGCGCAGCCTGGCGCGAACGAAGAGACTTCGAGGGAGAATTGGAAAACCATTGGGTCTGTGTCAAAAGGAGTTGGAACCTTTGCAACTGGGCCAGGAATGAATATGATTCGATGAATTGAATTCAACTCAGCGAATGACGGGATTGGGGTCATGATGACTTTGCGAAACGTGCGGGGAGTTTCGGAGAGCAACACTTAAACCAGGGGGCTTCGGTTGCGTCGTGGCACTACATTCAACTAGCAGCATTTTGATCGAGTTTCCAAACTTTTCAAGTCGGTAGGCAACTTGCATGATCCAATGCTTGGTGGATTGCCAAGCAGCCGGCATCTACTTTGAACCGACACAAACAGGATGAAGGTCATGACAAGCACAGAATAGCCCCGGATTTCAGGCTTCATCTCAACACCGACATGAGCAATGGTCAATTTGTGCATTCCTTTGCGCACCAAATCACGACTACGACAAAGGGGGCTACTCACCATACCAATGAATTTTGACTGTGGCTTCTGTCGCACTCACGCGGCACAAAGGCATGGGCGCTCCGCGGCCGCCGGTCGGCACCTTGTCAAAGCCAGACCTGAAGCCCGAAGCCGTCAGAGGAACCTGATCTAAGCGCAGTCTCATTCGAAGGGGGTCCTTGTGTGCCCCTTTTTGCTTACAACACCACCCACGAGCCAGGGCGCGCTAGGGCGTCGTACTAAAACCTATTCGGTTCAAAGTTCAAAGTTCCGAATATCCAGGCCAACATGGCCTAAGCTCCCTGCTGAAGAGACGTGGAAGGGCGGCGCGGAAGTGCCAGGGCTAGTGACACATGTGTCGTGAAATAGTGCCTAGCGCGAACACAAAAACATGAAAACGCACGAGGAAAAGAGAGGAAGTGGGCGGAAGAAACGCAGAAGGCGCGGAAGACAACTCCCTTCCACCTCAAACCCTCCACAAACAAGTGTTCAATTCGAAGCTGCCTGAAGTGTTCCAGCAGTGTAAGAACAGCTATCCAGCTCCAGAGTGCCAGCCCCAGGTTTCAAATAGCGATGCGAAAACCATGAACGAACAGCTCAACCTGCGCTGAAGACTTCCAATGGGCGCGGAAGGGCACGGAAGGTTCGCAGAAGCGCTGCGGAAGGACAGTTTTCAGGCTGAGTAATTGTAAACGCTTGGCGCTGCCCACAGCCAGGGGCCATTTGGTTTAGCGGCTTGCTTTGATCTCCGCGTAAAAAAGGCGCAGCGCAAGAAATGACACAGCCGCAGCCCAAGGTGGGGCTAGGTGACTTTCCAAGGGCCACAGCTACAGCCTGGGCCAGAGCTGCAGGCAAAGGGCTGGGGCCAGGTGGGTGAAGGGCAAGCGTTCAGGGGGTTCGGGAGAGGTTGACATAGAAAGGGAAGGGGTTGGTGAAGGCGAGTGCCGGTGACCAGGCGAGCGCCATCATTGGTCCCCTCCCAAAGGGTTGCGCGGCGCAAGTGTGCCATCAGGCAAACGAAGCTGTGGGCCTACGCCGCACGGGGTTCTGGAGCTGCTTGACTGACTGGTGTCAAGGAGCAAAGCCGCAGGCGTTCCGGCCAGATTGCGGCTTGAGCGCAAGCCAAGTGAAACGCAAAGACGGTGAGGCTCTTTTGGGCAAAAGCAAGTCCGCGAATGTCCACGCTCGCCGTCTCTTTTTGCGCGCCGATCAACTTGCAGAGGCCTCTCGAGCAAGCTTGCTTGCCTACTCCTCGCGGCTGGACTGGGTAGGCCCTGAGCTTGCCTAAGGCAAGAGGACACGCAGCGTGAGCAGCAACACAAGCGCCCTGACGTTGGTTTCCTGCCACGCTTGGTGAGGGTCCTGTTGCGGTCTGACTGGCTGCCGACTTGCGCCGCGAGCGGCAGGGCTGCGCCAGCAGCCAAATATCAGGCCAGCGAGGCACGCGTGGGTTTGACGCTTTGACATGGCGATTTCACATCGTGATGTTTATCGGTGTTTGCTTGCGTGGCTGTGTGTGTGTGTTGCGCTTGCCTGCGCGTGCTGGGTTTGTGTGGCCGCCTGTTGGGAGGCTTGGCTTGCTTGCGCGCTCGTGTGTGCGCGTGTTGCCCGCTTGCCTGTTCGTTTGTTTGTTTTGCTTGCCACCGCGCCGTTTAGTTGTTTCCTTGCTTGCCATTTTGCTTGGTGAGTTGGTCTGTTACTTCGCTTTTGGGCTGGTTGACTGTTCCGTTGTTGTTGCTCCACCTGCGTGTGTGCACTGTTACCAATTTCTTGTAGGTGAGCAGTTAACACACTCGGGCTCGATCTCTTGTTTGCTGACATATGGGGTTGACACTTGAGCCCGTTGGTGGGCCCAGCGTCCGCCCGGTGGCCTGTGAGTGCGCGCGGGCCCCGCAGGCTGGGGCTGGACCATGGCCAGAGTGGGAAGATACCTACGATGTCAAGAGGGGTCTGACCGCTTCCCGGCCTTGGGGCCGAGGCAAATGTGCAGGGGCTTTGGTTGCCCTTTGGTTTCCCACTAAAACCACCCCAAAGGCGCCCTTTGAGTTAATTTGCTGCAATTTTGTGTGCCATTGGGTAACTTAACAAGAAGCGAGGCGAGCCGCTCCTTTAGTCACAAACGTCCACATCTTGAGGACTGCCCTGCCCGCTGACACCAGAAGGCGTCTTGAAACAGAGTTTCATCAGCCTCAGATCAGGTGGGAGGGGTGTGTATCTAGTCTGTCCCATTCTGCTTCCTTTACTAAACAGATCCGTGTACTTGGCTTGTTCAAGTGTGTTCAGTCTACGGAGAAGGCCCTTCGGCGGCCACTCCTGAACAGCTGTTTTGGCACTGCACCACTGGGTGCATGCAGATACACCCAGCTTGAATGGATGGCCACCAGACCCACAACGGCAGACGGAACCATGAAGTCCACGTGGGGATAGGGCAGAAAGGGTGGCTCGAATCCTACAGGCCGTGCCCGGCAGTTTGAACCTGCCTCAAATCCCAAGGCATGATGAATCGGCCTGGCATGCTCTTCCCACCGGGCAGCTGGGCCAAACAAATAAGAACTGCAGACGTAGGATGTCATGGCCATGACCCATCCATTCCGCCGCTCTGGCTTGGATGTTTGAAGCAAGAGTCTTTGCCCTCGTGCTGATAGTTTGCAAAGCTTTGCTGTGAGGTTTCAAGAGCCTTGCAAGCGCTTGGGTATGGCAACATGTGAAAAACATAAACTGCCAACTGCAGACTGAGGCAAGGCTCCTGGCATGATGCCAAGCATGATGCCGCCCATGGGGCTTGGGATGAGACCATATCTTCCGCAGCTTGCATTGTACTTTGCGAGTTGTGATCTTCAGGGTGTTTGTTTTTTACCCTGGAAACAGGCGTCACGAATCAACATCCGGGTCACCGGGTCAAAAGCCAACCCACACAAGGCCGAGTGCGTATTGTTTGGCGAGCTTATGAAGTTTCGCCGGGCAGGACTCTGGCACGCGTTCTCTGTACGGGTACCGCTCAACAGCGATGTTGTCCAAACCTGGGGGGTGAAGGTGTGCGACCAACGTGTGGCTAGTGCAGTTTCAAGCAGCGATGGGCGGCCCTTCCAATGTTTCGGTCAGCTGAGGATGGGATCGCCCTATGGTGTACGCCCTCCCTGGGCTGGACCCGCCATACCACCGCCACAAAGGCCACAGTATAAGAACATGGCCGCGGGGCGGCAGTGATCCCGCCGTGCAGAGTTTTGGAGCAATCACTGCAGTCCAAGATGCAAATTGAAGGCTCATGCTCAGAACGTAGGGCATCAAACTAGGAATCCAATGGAATCCGTCCTCCGTCCACTGATTCAGGATCGAACCTCAGCAAGGTGCGAATGTTGGACTGAGCTGCAAGGGCTCTGTTGTTGGCGGTCTTGCCACGGCCATCCCTCGATTTCATGGATGCACTCAGGTCACTCCAGCCACGCTGGCAGCCATTCCGCCACCCATGCAGAAGCAGCTCTTGGGGGAGAGGTATGGCTGCATGTTTGCTCGGTTGCCCACCTTGTTTTGGTTTCGCTTTGCGCAGGGGCGTGTAAATCATATTGTCGAGTTCATCGAGTTTAGTTGGCAGATGTCCAGGTAAAATAAAGTGTCCAAGACTATTTCTGAAGATGCAGCACCGCTCTGTGACTTCATGAGTCAAGCTGACCCCAAAGCAGGCTTTGGGTGCTTTGGGATGAAGGAGAAAGATGGTTTGGAAGCCCAGGAAGCTGTATGGCGAGATCGCCCGGATCAACCCTGTGCACGCTGGCAAAATCACTGGCATGATGCTCGAGCGTCCTGGCTGAATTGGGGCTACGGATCAGCCCATTGCGTTTTGGGAGTGTTTTGGGGCGTTTGTCTGGCGATTTTGCAGGATGGAGAACAGCGAGATTCTGATGCTGCTTGAAAATCCTGAGCAATTGCACATGCGGG